GATCTCACATCATAGCAGGGGAGGATCAGGAAGAAGCAGTACTGTCCAACCAGCCAATTGATAACTTGTCATTATTACAGAGAAGCCTTATGCAACACGGTCTGCGATATGACAGTGACAGTCTGCTTCGGCCCCAGTCATCCGACCGCCCAAGGACGCCAACACCGAGCCAAACAAGAGGCTCTACAAGGAAAAGATCTTCACCAAGTAAAAATGAACCTGATGTTGTGTACAATGATGAGAACTCCCCGCCGGAGACGAATGTGCCAGTGGTCAAAGTTACTGGTGTCCATGAAGAAATTCGCAAGGGGTCAATCACAACTCAAGATTTCCTTAACGAAGCCACAAAGATCATGGACATTATCAGGTCAAAGGGCAGGAACGTAGGTGGCTTGTCGAGTGTAGAAGAGTCCGAGGCAGAAGACAAAAACGAAAGTGAAAGTTACGAAGATGAATCTACTAGGGAAGAGTTCTCGCGTCCCCCGAGTCGAGAGGGAGTCGATATGCGGAAATTGCGAGAGCAAAAAGAGACAAACCCTCGAATTCTAAGCCACCTCAAGAAGTTCCAAGAACATGATGACTTGGAGCTGGGCGACAATGCCTCTGTCACCTCGCTGAGCTTCGAGAACCAACAAGATTCGCCTTCTCGGGTGGATACCGACGAAGACTATATCGAGCAAGATGATGAAGCTGCGACAAACCAGGCATTTGAGAAGATGCAACCGGCAGATGACGTATGTGAGCAGCGTCAACGTAAATCATCCGCACCTACTTCTGGTGAAGATGACGACCTACCCGGTCTCTTGACCTTTAACACGCAAATATCGGCTAAAAGCCTTAGTGCACGTTCGGTGCCTACCGGGTCTTCACAAAGCTCACACGCTAAAGGTGTACTATCGTCCGACATAGTTTCTCATTTGATTCCAGAACAGGTGAACGGCCTGACTTACGACCGCCACAGGCATCAGTGGATAAGGGGAAAGTCCGAAGTTTCTTTCGAAAAGCCCAAAGGCGAAGACAGTGAGGATGATCCATTCAGAGATATACCCGATCTTAGTGTTGACGAATTGCAAGAAATGATGAGGATGCAAAACTCGCCTTCCCCAGAACGGACCGGGGACTCTGTTCTGCCAGAAGATGCCAATGACCAAAGTCCGCTAAGTCGGAAGACCGGCTTTCCCAGTTCAGTGGTTCGGCCGGGAACCAAGGATGGTGAGCCGTCGGTTGCTGCCAGTTCTTTGCAGTCTAAATCGGCTCGCTCTAACTCTAGTATTCCGCACTCGGCGACTGGAGTGACCTCGTGGGGCTCTGAAACCAAAGGCAATAGAGCATCCTCCAGCGAGGTTGAACACGAAATCCAGCTTCATGAGGGTCACTTATCGAAGCCACCAAGGCGCCAAAAAGACGGGAAACAACAAGCTCGTGTGGTCACGATAAGTTTCTCATCACCCCTCGTTTCACATATCGCATATAGCGACGATGAAAGTCCGTCAAAGCTCCGCAGAGCAGGTCAAGAACCTGAAACGGCGGCTAATCACACATACACCTCCGAGCAAGCCTCCCATCGCCACGCTATTTCCAGAATAGATGAGACAAATGAAGAGCAAGGCGATAGTCTGAGCTTAGTCCGACAGGGCAATGATGCTGTATCCACCCCGCTTAAGAGTCAGGCCGAAAACTCGCTTATGTGCCTCCGTGATATGGACCATGACACGAATCATAGCTTCTATTTGAGTCCTTTGCCTGACTTTACTGTCCACCAAATTGACCCTTCTCTACAACTAGAACTTAGCTATGTGGCTCAGCGCACTCACCCTAGATCTTTGCGTCAGGTGCATGGGACATTTGCTCTGGCAACTGAAGAGTTAGTAAAGCATATTACGGAAGTCGAACCTTTTGAGCCTTACTGGGAGCATGTTCGACGTTTGGTCCTTCGCCACAAAGGCTTGATCACTCTTCACAAACTTTGCGACTTTTGTCCTCGTCTTGAAGATTTGGATGTGTCTAACAACAATATTGGACAGTTGAGTGGGGTGCCTCCAACTCTGAGGACTCTGAGAATATCGCATAACTGCCTCTCCAATCTAACAGCCTGGGGCCACTTGGTGAACCTGCAATATCTGGATATTTCTGGTAACGAGCTGGAGAGCCTGGATGGATTCAGTAGTCTGATTCACCTGAGAGAACTAAAAGCTGAAGACAACAATATCCGAAACATTGATGGCATTTTCGAACTGGACGGACTTCTAAGCCTGAAGTTGCGGAACAATAGCTTGACGACTGTCGATTTTGAAGACTCAGAGCTGTAAGTACCCTTATTCCGGCCCAGACTGCTACAGGACAACCGACTCATTTGCTCTTATAGGGTTCGCTTGGAAGAGTTAGATCTCAGCCATAACCAACTGATGTCAATACAAAATATCGAGTCGCTCTCAGCATTGTCAAAGCTCGACCTTAGTTTCAATCAGCTGGCTAGAGTAGCTCCATCGGCACCTATGCCATACCTATCATCCTTACGACTCTCCAGTAATCAACTGCATAGCCTGGATGTTGCAGCTTTTCCGTCGCTTACCCTTCTCTACCTCGACCACAACTATCTATTCACAGTGTCGGGACTTGAACAATGTGCAGGCTTGGACGTCTTCTCTGCACGTGAGCAGATGAATACAGGTGAGCACAATGGTGGGTTTTTTGACGTGGACCTGGGTCTGGTAAAAGACGTTCGGAAAGTTTTCCTGTCTTGTAATAAGCTGTCTTTGCAGTGCCTGTCTCCGTCCAGCCCTCTTTCGGGCTTGCAGCTGCTCGATGTTGCATCTTGCAGTATCCAAAGCCTCCCCGCAGACTTTGCTCTCAACTTTCCGAACGTCAGGGTTCTCAACTTGAACTTCAACTCCCTGGCTGGCATCAATGAACTGGCTGGATTGAACTGCCTTTCTCGCCTGACCATTGCCAGCAACTGCATTGTTCGGTTGAGGAGACTCTGTCAAGTCTTGAGTCGGATAGGAAGAACAAACAAGAATAAGGTTTCTACCCTTCAAAAGGTAGATATAAGAGGCAACCCGCTTACAGTCCGATTTTATCCTCCAGCTGTCACTGGAAGCGGCAGAGTCGGAGACGCAAAGGATTTGAAGGTAGAAGATGAGCCCGGCCAACGTGAGCAAATTGGGTTAGATATCCAATCTGTGCTTGCTGAGTTTGGACACGCTGAGGACTTAGAGCGTTCTGTTATTCATGAAAAGGATGATGAACATATCGCCGACAAAGATGTCGAAATCAACGACCCATACACTTTGCCGCCAGCGGACCCCCAGGCCGACCAGAAATATCTGTCTCACTTGGATGAGCCGACACGGCTTCGACGCAGAGTATTTGAGCTGATGCTGTATGCGGGAACAGGCGGCTCCCTCAAAATTTTGGATGGATTGCAATTGCGTCCCACGCTCGAACCAGGCTCTGACATAGATCACGCTTGGAAGAAGCTTGAGAAACTTGGAGTACTGAAAAGAAAAGCTATTACCAGATGATTTCTCCCCCTCTGTCTACCCTTGTCCTTCTTTCTTTCTCTTTCCATTTTTCCTTTTACCCTTCTTTTTCACTTTCTCCAACTCCTCTTTTTATTCTTCATTTACGCCCCTTTCCTATCATCCGCTAGCGGCTTGTATGTATGAGTGTTTTAATGTCGGACTGACTGGCGTTGTGTCCCACAAAGGATTGCATATTGGAGTTTTGGCATTGGTTGAGTAAAGGTCTTGGATTTTTCTGCATGAGCGACTTTTTTGTGCTTCTTTGATGTTCACTACTAAATCCAAACTTGTCGATTATGCTCCCTGCGTTACAGATACCAACAATACAACTGACCGGAGTGGTCCAGTTCACTTGTATTTACCACTGAAAATGATTATTTGCTCATTCCCCTTGTGCGATGCATTCTATCTATCAGTTAACATCTCTAGCCTCGATCAACTCGAAATGCGCCCAACCATCGAAATGAATTAACAATCACAATTATCTACGCGCAGCCTCTACGGGAAATCGCATATAATTCTGTTCAGACTTGAGTTTTGGCTGAGAAGGTGTAGGCTAATTCTGAATATATGATGTCGAACATCAATGTGGTGGTATAAAAGCATCGGGGAGACCATTTGGCCGAGGAGCCCTGTTTGGAGACTTCATCCTGGACGTGATGACCTGCAGTCGTCCCAAGTCAGTAATGGAATTCCAGGGTCAGGGTAGTACTCTAGGGCTGGACTCGGACTTGGCAAATGGTCTCTCCTGACTTGACAATAAAAGAAGCCCAGGCCAGGGTCTGACTATCTACCGTCAATCAATTGATTGGTGTCTGCTGGATTGGGGCTCGTGCTCATTGATACACACACCTAAGGTGATAGTGAGTATTATACCCTTTGCAGTTGGTGAAGCATCGATAGTGAGATGGTTGGCGGGTGTTGTTTTTGTACTTTAGTACCCTGCACACTGTATTCTTCTCGCGGCGCAACATGAGTGGATCGGTTGCGCTGCGAAATTCCGTAACGGAGCTGAATCCCTGCAGTGGTATGATGGAACAAACTCGGAACAATGATTGACCATGTAGGGACTAAGGAAAGTACTGCCCATCACTGTTGCAACAACGGAGTTTCCGTCTTTTGGAAGATTGTGCGTGTGCATATTTCACATACTCTATGGCCCATCCACGCACAAATCAAGGCACGTCTGCAGCAGGCACTTTGGAGCAAATTAAAGAGACACATATATAGCCAGGGGGCTCTTTAATCACAGACCAATAGTACTCACGCCACGGTGTACATGTCTATGTTAGCACTGAGCATAGTGCTACTAACTACCGGGATGCTCCCTGGACTTTACGTACAATCCCATGTAAGATCAACAGTTAACTCATTTTCTATGGTCAGAGGATCGGGAGAGAAGGGACTGGCTTGCCTGTATTTTCGGTCAGTGAAATGATTTTGCATATCCACTGTTTCACGATCCATCCTTTATAGACTGTCCCCGCCTTGATCTCTGTTCTTCAAGTATACATCAACAATGTCATATTATGCACTTTCATTCCTACCACTTCTCTCTACCTTGAAATCTTTTTTGAAGATATGGTAAACCCAGTGGGAGGTCACGGCCCGACTCTTCTGATTGTTACTTGGGTGGAATTCTCCATTGCACTCTCCCTATTGCTGGCACGGGTATACACGACACTGCGAATAACGCGGCGCACCCGGATCGATCTATATCTAACACTTTTCACCTTTGTATGATAACCCCTTTTCTCTGTTCGAATATGCCACCCCACAAGAAAAGTTGAAGACTAATCGGGGTAAACATCCTCAAATGGTTTCAGGCCGTTGGCACCGAGAGCCTTATTGCGTTAACTCTGAGCATCCTCCACGGCCTCGGTCAAGATGCGACAATCCTGACACAAGATCAAGCCGCTATGGCCATAAAATGGAGTTGGGTGAACCAGTTGTCGGCTCTTTTCGCCATCGCGATGGGGAAGCTAGCCATTGTGGCTTTTCTGCAGCATCTCCATGGCCCCGAGGACCGCTGGAAAGTAGCGATACTATGGATAGTGGCGTTCAGTAATCTTGTGATCAATGTTATCATTATACTTATCGTGTTGACTCAGTGCCAACCGTTGAGCAAGCTATGGGATGACAGACATCCTGGGACTTGTGATTATCTCCGGACTCAGAATTGTGCTTTTTTCCAAGGGAGTATGATTTCTCTAGTCCATAGGATGGTGGAAACGACTGAGACTGACTTCGCTGGGATCTTCTAGGCTGGTCTGCTTTGTGCGATCTTATCCTTGCCTTATATCCGGTCAGCTTTTTCTGGAACGTACAGCTCAGATTACCAGTGAAGACTGGGCTCTGCATATTGATGGGGTTGGGAGTGATGTAAGAGCACTGCATCCCCTGGTCGAAAGACAAGCAACTTGCTCACGATAGATTACCAGCGCATGCATTTGTTCTATTGTTAAAACAACCTACCTCCGCGTGCTCTCCAAGACCGAAAATGTAACGTGTAAGTCACCTTATCGCCAATCCGTGGAATCGAATGGCAATCGCATGTATACACTCATACTTCTGACATCAATAATAGACTACTTGTCTCAGCTCATCACATGGAATGAGTAAGTCTTATCGACGAGATAGCCGTGAACCATTGCAACGCTGACTCTCATGTACAATAGAACGGAGATGTGGGTTATTCTAATCGTCGGATGCATTCCTCCAATCCGTCCTCTCTTGATGATAATATTCCACAAAATCCTGACCAGCGCACGATCGGCGACTGGGCGATACAATAAACATAGCCGTGATGGGACAGAATTGCAGTCCTACTCCCGTCCGTCCAAACACATGCCAAAAGCACCCAAGCCACATCCCCACGGGACGGACCTGTTGGTGAGCACTGTCAATGGGAAGGGAAGCGAGGAGAATATCCTGTCGGTCGAGGATGGTACAATCGTCAAGACAACCGATATCAGCTTAACATACGAAGTGCCGGCGGGATCGAGAGAGCAAGGGGAACCTTACGGGCAGGTACTTCCCCACGAAAGGATATGATGGGGTTGTGGTTCTTCATGGTGTCACTTGGATATGCGCATGACCTTATGGTATGAGATTTAAATAATGATCACCATGCAGCACCACTTCATACTACTAGGTAAATAGTAAAGTGTGGGCCAAGTCCGACGGAATCCTCACATTATCCGAAATAAATGGCTGTACTAAAGGTGACTGGCTAACATATGTATCATTTCATGTAAAGGAGGCCACGTCAATCGTTGCACAAGACGCTGAGACGCGAAATGAATGCAGTGTCGCACTGTCTGTAGCTCGTACTTTGGCTGTTGAGTCGAGAACGGAAGGCCATCGGAAACTAGTCATGCACAGCAATAAAAATTTAATATAATGTATACAAGGATCTGGGTACCTGCTGTGGGTCATGGCAACGCTATAAATATTCCTACCCATTAGTGCACACGCCATCCAACCCGCCTTAGCACAATAAGCACTTTACGCCAATAACGGTCGTCCTTAAACGGGGTGGAGGGCGAGATCGTTTATGAACCAGGATTGTTCAATTTTCCACGCCAGTCATGGCTACAGCCCACCCACATAGACAGTCCTCGGCCTGTTTAATGTCCGACCCCATGGCTGATTTGAACCCTGTTCAGAATGTGACCAAACGGTCTCTCTGTAAGCTCAGATAAGCTGTACTATCTACAAGTCAATCCCTTCCATTCTTCTTGGGGAAGAACGTTGATCTGCAGGCTCCCTTGCGTCCAGAGTCGTGACCCTCACTGCTCTCTTCACACCTGATTTCTCGGGCCAGTTCTTACTCCGCCGTTTTTTATATCAAATTAACCCCTGAAAGAAGCTGTCATGACGGCTAACAACATCCACCGTGGCGGAGGCGGAACCTTGGGACCGGCTGATATGCAAGTAGACATCGTTCCGGGAACAGATGTTTTACGCGACGCTGAGGATCGTCATTTGAAGCATGGCAGAAGAAATGACACTGTGTATGGCTTATCTCCAGTTCAATTGAGATGTGTTGTATTCGAAACTGACATCGTCCAGTCTCATTCCACAGCCTTCAAACAATAGTGACGATCCCCTCAACTGGGCACCTGCTTGGAAATGTTAGTGCCTCAACCTGTCCAAACGCATCGAAATACCTAACAATACATGGGTGGAAAGTAGATCTGGTCATCATCTCCCAATTTCTTTATGTCTTTGTTGCGGTCGAATCCTCGCTATCAATGGCACCCATGTTTCCATTGTTGGGCAAGGAATGGGGCCTCAATGAAACTCAGCTTGGCCTTCTCACAGGAGGATGCATCCTCGGTCTAGGCTATGCGAACTTTCTCATCGTTCCGTTCTCGAACATATTCGGGCGGAGGTTGGCTAGTATATCTTTGGCAGTCCTGACATTCCTTACCGTGCTCTGGGAAGCTCTTGCTACTTCGCATAGGGCCTTTCTGGCAGCGCGTGTAGTCAATGGTCTTACGACTGCCACGACAGAGAGTATCATGATGCAAGTGATTGCAGATCTATTCTTTCTGCATGAAAGGGGGTTGTGGACCGGTATCTATTTGTTGGTTTCACCCTATGCTGCTCCATGACAAAGGGAGCTAATTGAAGAGCAGTACGTCCTATTTCTTTGGTTTATTCTTGGGACCAGTGATTGCGGGCAACATTGCAGAAAGGTAACGGCCCATCCCCATCTGCTCATCTCTTATTTGGCTTCAGATGAACCACCGTAAGTTGTAGATATGTGACCACAGCTAAGGGAATATCCAACTACAGGCATGGATGGCGAAGTTTCTTCTGGGTATCACTGGGTCTTTCAGCCTTCAACATCATCACCCTTGCATTATTCTTCCCCGAAACAAAGTACCGACGCTCAGCAGCGACCTTCGGAGGCAAATCGGAAGCTGTAGACGAACCAACACCGATCACAAATACCGAAAAGCACGACGCACAAGAATCAATCCAGGCACCAAACGACAACGAAGCATCCAATACCAGTTCGCAATACGGCAAGGGACGGCCATCCAAGAAACAATTCATGCTCTTTCAAAAGCCCGACTCCCACTGGAAAGGCTTTCTGATCCGCGACATTTTCTCTCCCATTCGCGCATTCTTCTACCCCATTATATTCTGGGCCGGCTTAAACGTTGCAGGACCAGCGAACCTACTTCTCTTCTTTAACCTGACGGAATCTGCCATCCTGGCTGCGCCGCCCTATAACTTCTCTTCGGGGGCTGTCGGGTATAGCAATTTTGCCTTCTTCGTCGGTGGAACCATAGGGCTTCTAACTGCTGGACCGTTCTCAGACTGGGTAGCCGACAAAGCCACGCGTCGGAATCGAGGCGTTCGAGAGGCAGAGATGCGTCTTCCGGCATTGATTCCCTTTTTCATCACTACTGCCATCGGGAATATTATTGGGGGATTAGGGTATCAACACCAGTGGTCATGGCCTATTATCCTTGTTTTCGGGTACGGGCTCACCGGGCTCAGCGTCACTACTGTGCCGACAATTGCCGTTGCATACGCGGTCGACTGCTATAAGCCCATGTCCGGGGAGATCATGGTCGTTGCTACGGTTGTTAAAAATACAATCGGGTTTAGTATGAGTTATTGGGTTGCGCCTTTGGGTGCGAGGAAGGGTTTGATTGCTCCTGCCATGGTGGAGTTTGCCTTGACCATGGGGCCGATGCTGCTTGCTGTTCCATTGTACTTTTGTGGTAAAAGGCTACGGAGGCTTACTAGGAACTCGACGTTCCATCAGTGGTCGGAGATGTAAATCTTATTGAACTTTGGATAGGAAATTACGAGGCCACAAGTTCATGAATATTCATTACTCTCTGCTCGGGATGGATGTATTTGCCCCTGGTATACTTATAACAACTCATTATATCGGCAGAATCTCTGACAATGTTACGAGGGGCCTGCCCCAACCCTTTCAGCATACTCTGCCTCCTCAAACGGCCTGTAGAAGCGGATATATTTCTTGACAATACACCGCCACTGCAGCCGCTTCCAGATGTTCCCATTTCCGTCCAGAGGGCCGATGCTGGACTTTATTCAGGGCTTCTTTCAATTTAGTACCTTTGCTACCTCCCGAGGTTATTCGGAATAGTCTTTGTCGGTCAGCTATAAGGCCGGTGTTGGTTCCCCGCTTGATATGTCAGTTGTCCAGATTCATTGTTGAAATGGACCAAAAGCATGAGTATGAGAGATAGGTGGCGACTCATGATGTCCAGAAGGTAGTAGGCCAGGCATCTATGCCAGTAGAGTCTTCTATCGAGAACACCCCCGGGTTTATAAGGTCCATCTCATTATTTGTCCTGCCCAGGAAGTCCTGCATTGTCGGTTCCAGAAACGCCATTTCGGTAGTGAGGCCCACAATGGGAACTGCGGTCGGAGCTAAAATGTGGTCCACGTTTGCAGCAGCATCTCCGACTGAGAGACGGGACTGCTCGGGCGTATAACTGCGGGGGATAGCATTATTTCCAGAGCCGTTCGGTAAACACTGCTTTACTCGCTTCAGGTTTTCGTAAAACTCTGCCGCAGCAAGATTACCATGGTCTTTCATTCGCCGAAGGATCTCGATGGCTGTCTCCAGGAATTCTAGATCGGCCGTCGTGCCGATCGAGGGCAGAAGGCCTGACATCACCAGGATGATAGCGGAGGAGAAGAGGTACTGTGCGTAGAAGTACCCGTACATTGGCAGTGACCCGTTTACCCACTCCTCGGTTATCAGGGTATGAGAATGCCGGGCAGCGTGGATGCATGCCTCGCTCAATGTGATGACTGGCTGCGGGGTGTCTTCGTGATTGTCGCGGTGGGCTCGTTGTTGGAATAAGGCGTGGAGGAGAATCGGACGAGTGGCTAATATGACACACTTATCCATGTCAGTGACATACCTCACGACACACGTGTGTGTGTGTGTAAGACTTACCTGGTTGAATTGCAAGTGGAGAGACACGACGTGCTTCTGAGGAGTCTCTACACTTGGTAATTTGATATGTGCTGGCAGAGACTGAACCCACTCCTGCAACGCGAGAAGTAACTGCTGCTCTCGTTGTAGGAATGACTCCTGGTGTGGCTTGCGGGTGTAGATTTTCTCTACGATCTGGCCGACTATACGGGCCAAACGGATGCTAGACACTAGATATGCCGTATCAGAGAATTGCTCTTCAGCGTCGGGACTGGTAACCACTGCTGGGAGATCAACATAGATATCGTCGTCGCGAATCTGGAGAGGGAGCCCAATTTTCGACGTGTACATGCGGTCAAAGATATAAATAGCCCACCAGAGGCGCACACGGTGTTCGCGCTCGGTTGGATCCGCGCATTGCCGAGCAGGAATATTATGATTTAGCCCTAAGAATAGCCCCAGTCGCATGGCACTTCCAACTAGTATATAGGCAGAATGCCGTCTATTCAGGAAGTATGAGTATAATGACTGGTTCGCAGTTAGAGGACACGTTCAAAGATCATTGACGACACTCACCAGCAGTAGTAAGCTTTCCACGTGGATCAATCCCGGTCTTTCCGGTAGAATTGGAATTATCCCCATCGCACGCACGTAGTACCTTGTCCCTGGCACTCGGCTGGTT